GGTGTAGTAATTTACATATCTCATTAATGCATTAATGAGTCTATGTTATTCATTATTGATGAATGATGTGCAGAAAGGTTTCATGTAATGGTTTCCAGACTTATCGCAGATTGAATCAGCAGTTTTACTAAATTCCTGGTTTTTCCATCAGTTCCTGCCAGTAAGTGTCTCTTTACATACAAGGAGATAACTGGACTCCATTAGGTTTGTGAAGATGTTTCACCTTTGAGGCGTCTTCAGGTCATGTGATGGGGGCAGTATTTCCAACCTAAAATGAAGGTGAAATAAAGGGGTTGTTTAAAAAAGTGGTTATGCAACACAACGGGAAACTGTTGCTGTCATTAATTAAACATTTTAAATGAATATTTATTTTCTTACAAAACTGTTTCAATATTTGAATCGTCTTTCTGCTATTTATAGTTACACAAAGGTTTTAATTGAATACTGTATTATTTAATTTACATTTTTAAACTGAATCACAATATTTTTGTAAACAGGGTTATATGTTTTATAGTTAAGTTTGCTATGGTTTACCTTGTGCTGCGTAGAACAATACAATAGCATGTATCTGCTCAATGATGCACTTTTTCGTTTGTAAACCTTAATTCTTCACTTTTGAATAATAGATTAAATCACTCTGTTCCACTTCAGCTTGTAAGCTGCATCCTAAATGTTACTTATAATGTTTTCATTTGTTTTCCAAACACAGCCTAACATGTACTGAATCATGACAGACAGTGTAAGCTTTGTCTTTACAAAGTGGATATTTACAAATGGTATGAAACATAGTTGTTCTGAATTGGACGCAGTGAAGCAGACATCTCTGACTTCTGTTGGAAACATGTGACCATCAGTTTTAGGTTTCTTCATGTTTTTGATTAAAATATGTATTCATGATTTATTTAATTCCATTTCCACTAAATGAACATTTATTTAAAACTTGCCTTCTTGCTGTTTTCTTGTCTGTTATCTGTAACATACATTAATTACAGTTCAATTGTGTGTGGATCACAGTGTGTACAGTGATTTCTTTTTGCAAATGAACACAGTGTCATAATTCATTATCTGCTTTTTATTACCATTAAATGCACTGTAATTGAAGGAAGGATGTACATGCATTTAAACTCTGCAACCATGGTTGCAGAGTTTAAATGCATGTACATTCCTGATTACAGGAGGACAGACTGTTTTCACTCTTATACATTTTACACATCTCAGTAGGTTAATCAAAAGGGGGTTGCCCTAATTTCAATTAATGATGTACATTAAAGTCATGTGTGGCACGGTGTGAGTAAAGACGGTCAGCTGCAGGTAGAGGGGTGGAGCAGCGGGTTCAGCCTTTGGAAACTCTGGCCAGTATGCTTCTGGAGCCACTATGCATCAGGATCAGACAGCGGTGCATCACCAGCAGCTTGACTGACTGCAGGACCAGGCCGAGTGCTTGTGCTGGTCACACTTTCCTTGCCAGCTCGGCTGTCAATCCCCCCAGTCCCAGTTGTTATGCCTTCGTGGAGGACATGGCTGAAGCGTGCCAGTGGCCTGCTGAGGAGCGGTCCTTATGGTTGCTCCCGTTGCTGTCTTGGGAGGCCCAGATGGTGGCCCTCAACTTTGCAATGGTGAGGTTTGTCGTGTTTAGTTTTTCCTGAAGGGAGTACAGAAGTACTTTTTTTTTTTTCAACCTGTCGTTGAAAAAAAAAGATTTTAATTTGCTTCTGCAGTTGAAATTACAAGTTACAGCCTTGGATCTCTCTGTTAAATTAGCCGTCTGTCTTCATGCAAAAGGATGAGCCTGAAATGGGGCCCACAGTTTTATACCCCAACAATAACAAATTTTATTATGACTATCTTCTTCTGGCAGCATTGTGGCAGTCCCGTTGTCTCCCTTCGAGTCTCCTCTCCGCTCAGGTTCGACCTCATATCTGCTCTTTTTCCTGGAATGACAGAGACAGAAAAACACCTCCCTGCCTTGATAATTAATTCTGATTCTATTTATTATTTAATTTCTGGACATTTTGTTCAGAGTTCCTTGGTCCACAAAATAGCCTGACTTTTATGTGGTGTGATGTGTATACATGCTACAAAAAGACCCTCTGCGCTCTACATCAGTCTCAATATTTCTATTCAGTCATAGCACTGAATGAAGTTTCTGACCTTCAAAAACATGCAGCATCAGCCCATAATGAGCACATGTGATGTATATATGAAAATCATAAAAAAAACTTCTTTATTTAATCATTTTAATCCTAACAGGGTCTGCTTTAAAGATGTCCCTTGGTTGATACTTGACCAACTGGGACTCACACTGGAGGACCACTGCACAAGGTAGCTGGCGGGGTCATAGAATCGGCCCTTCACCTACGCAAGGCAGGTGCATGACCCAGCGGCCGAGCAACACCAGGCACTCACATAAAGGAGAGGTTTGGCTGGTGGACCTAATTGGCCTTGAGCAATTCATGGATGGGCTCCCAGTAGACACAGCAGAGTGGGTCTGCTGCCACCGACCAGCCGATCCACATGCTGTGGTGAAGCGGTCGGAGAACCACCTGTCAGTGCAGCTAAGAGAATCAATGAGTCGGTCAAAACCAGCAGTGGCAAGTCAGCCAGTCCCAACTAGGGAGGCAGCTCTGGGTCTGTGTCATTGCACAGTGGCTATGGACAATGCACTCCACTCACTGCGAGCCACACAAGCATTGGGGCTGGAGTGCTGGAGATGTGAACAACTAGGACACGTCAGTCGAGAGTCCCGTGTATGGAGGCGGGACAGATAATGTGGACTCTGGTCCACCATACCCTTCGTTCAACCCAGGATATTGTTGGAGGCAGACTAGGTGACGCTTAGGTGTATGCCCAGGGACATACACAGGCTCTGCCTGCTCCAGTAATTCACTCCATCTGAGCTTTCCCACTAGAGCAGTCTTGTGATGACGCTCTACGCTCAGCCTTTGACCAAGGGATGGAAACTGATGATCAAATGGTGTGCTCAGACGTAGCGCTGACCGACCCTCTTTCTGTGATGGTTAGAGACAGATTGTATTGAATGAGTCATGACACACCCAATTGTTGGTGCCAAAAAGCAGCTGGAAAATAATTTTCCAGGCAGCTCATTGTAACCCCATGGCAGGGCGTATGGGATATACCAAAACTCTGAGAAGAATAATGGTCTGGTTATTGACTGGACATTCAAGGGGATGTATGCCGATGATGTGTTTCCACATGCCCCGCTAGTTTAGAGACTTATTCCTCATGAAGAACAGAAAACAAGACAGAACATCTTCAACCGGTCTTTTCACTCCTTAACGAGGGAAGTTTGGGTCAGAACCAGCTCTTGGAGCTCATGCTCCTCACCTGTCTGTAGCCCAAATCCTTCAAAGAGCAGCTTCCCTCGTCGCCTTTTTATTGACAAACTGTTACAATACACATCACAGCAAAAGCACCTCCCTCCGTAAATTGAATTGTACTTGTTATTAATCTCCGTCTCTCTTCCACAGCATGTCTTTATCCTGTTTTCCTTCTCTCACCCCAACCGGTTGCAGCAGATGGCCTCCCTGAGCCTGGTTCTGCTGGAGGTTTCTTCCTGTTAAAAGGGAGTTTTTCCTTCCCACTGTCACCAAAGTGCTTGCTCATAGGGGGTCATATGATTGTTGGTTTTTTCTCTGTATCTATTATTGTACGATCTACTATACAATATAAAGCGCCTTGAGGCGACTGTAGTTGTGATTTGGCACTATATAAATAAAATTGAATTGAATTGAATGGGTGAGTGTGAGATCATTTCACATTTGCCATTTCTTTCTTTATTTTTCTTTTCTTTTTATGTGTGTGCAAACATTTCTGTGTTTTTGATTTCTTGGGATTCGGTATCTTTGGAAGAGTTTATCTCTGTATGTGTGCAAATGTATGTGGATTCATTTAATCCTGCAATCCTGAGATTTAAGGTTGGATCAAGCTCAACGCAGGCACACCGAATGGGCCACGCATGATCAGGAAATATGTGGAAACATTTCCGTGTTTGGATTGCTTGGAATTTTGTTCCGGTGGTTTCTTTAGCCGTTTCTATCTCTGTATGTGTGGAAATCTTTGTGCATTCCCGTGTTCCTGCTTTGAGATCTAAGGTTGGCTGAATTGGTTGATCTCTGTGGACAATCACATTTGTGCACAAACATTTCTGTGCTTGGATTTTTAGGAATTTTGGATTGGTAATCAGTTTATCAATCCAGATGTGTACAGAAGTATGTGCATTCATGTGTACATGTGTGGAGATCTGAGGCTGGTTTCTAGGTTGGACCTCTGCACATAATCATATGTGTGTGCAAACATTTCTGTGTTTGGATTGATTGAAAATTGGGTCTGTTGGTTTCTTTGTTAGCAGTTATCTCTGGTTGTGTGCAAATGTGTGCATGCGTTATTTCATTATTTAATTAATTAATTAAATTCATTTTGCACTCGTGGCTCTCCTTAGCCTGGTTTCCCCTTTTGGCAATAACCTCTTTGGCTTTGGAGAAAACCCTTTCACGTGGTACTGAAGAGGCAGAAGTGCACAAGTACCCCACAGTAGGCTTATGTTAGGCTAAAATATATGCACCTCCACCCACGGATCCGTTCCACTTTATGTATGTCCAGAAATCACACCAACACACTTTCTGAACTAGCGAGGCTTCAGACGTCATCACCGACGTCACTCACCCATAAGGTGCAAGCCAACACACGATTCCTGAAATACTTCCTGGACTTCTCAACACACCCTCCGAAACCTTCCCTTTTTTTCCAGCACATATCATTTTTATGTCAAGTACGCATTTTTAACGCAGCATTTTTTTTTATTATTATTAATATTATTATTATCATTATTTTTTTTTACAGTTTCACTTAAAATCGCTGTTAGGCTAAATGAATGTTTTATTCTGAAATTCGGCCCGGAAGTCCGTTCGCCTGTGGCAAAGTGAAACAAGAGCATATCGGGGTCTTGGGAGAAAGGGCTGCTTTGCTAAGGTATGTGTTACTGCGTTTGACTTGCGTGTTACTAGTATGTTATGTGTGTGTTTAACGTGAACGGCGATCTTCGGCACTGTGAAAATCCGCCTCCGCGTTTTGAGGTTTGAGTTGGTTTCTTGTCCCTCTCGAACGTGAGCTGAGGTACGACACCCAGGTGTTGACGAGCTTTTTGGAAACAAATGTGCTAATTAGCGGTCTAAGACTTGTCCTTGGTTACAAAGCCTTTCCTGCTGTTCTCTAACAAAATGGTGTCTGTGTAACAGGAACACCGGGCTCGGTCTCTTTCACGGGCGAGTTTCATCTCGGTGTGCGGAACTGGGTGGCGCGTTTCAGCGAACGTCATGTTAGATTTTTCACACCGGGACCTTTTTTTTATAAACATGGCTGTTCAAGTCCTTTGCCAGGAAGTATACATCTGGTATCATCAGCATGGGCCAGAGAGAAACTGGGTACGCTGGGAAAGGAAGTCCAATTAACGCTTAGATGTCGGTAAGACGTTGGGCAAGCAACTACAAAACTATTCACATCATTTATATGTGTAAGCAGTTTCACATAAGTAGTAATGCCAAAGTTTCACTTTTAAGCTTTGAAAGTTCAAAAGTAGTTTTGTTACATTTTAGTTTAAGAAAAACTGTTAAAGTACTCAATGCAGAAGAATTTCCCATGTTAACGTTACAGTGGGGGAATAATTATTTGCTCTTCTGCTGAATTTGTTTGTTCACTTACCAAAAAAAGAACAGTCTCAAATTTTTATGGTAGTTTCATTGATATTCTCTCTCTCTATTAAAATGAAACACACGCACATTACATAAAAGCTGGAATTTATTTGCAGGTCATTAAGTCAGATGAGTATTTGAGCCCCTGTAACAAAGCCAGAATACAATCAAATGAATTAGATCCTTCTGTTCTCAACTTGTTTTGTGCATTAAGCACACATAACAAGATTCCACAGAATCAGTTTCTTTCATTCCTACATCTCCACCACCGTGGGAAACACCAAAGGACCTCGTGGATAAGATTGTAGACTGGTACAAGGCTGGACTGGGCTACGAGACCATGAGCAAGAAGCTTGTCAATCACCTGAAGGAAGCTGGAGCCACAGTTAACAAAAACATACCTGGTAATCCACTATGCAATAACGGATTGAAACACCCACAAGGTCCCCGTAATCAAGAACATGTATAGGCCTGTCTGAACTTTGACAGTGAACATCTTAATGATTCACAGGAGGCCTGAGGAAAACTGCTGAAGTCGCATGAAACCAAAATCAAGCTCTTTGGGGAACACCATCCCCATACTCGAGCACAGAGATGGACACACTGTACTTCTACTGTACTGCACACATTGTGATTGGTACATGGTGAAAATTATATAGGGTAATTTACTGGTTCACTCTGGGCTGTTTTATTGGGACTGACAAAGAGCCACAGATGAGCAGCTGGCATATTCTTATTCTTATTCTTTGACCTAAGCATTCGTGTTGCATCTCAATTACATCAAGGGGACGCTGGGACGCGTTGCTATGATAATGACCATCCACATCAGATGGTACTAGATTTTAATGGACAAGCAGTCAATCCAAGTAGGTACTAATGGAAAAGGGCTTTGGTTGAGGTTTGTGCTCTTGGAGTGCTTGTTTATCGCATGTGGCTGCCTAGACACTGTGGATGATTCTTCTGATATGACCCAAAACATGCTGCCAAGGCAACAAAGGAGTGGCTAAAGAAGCATATTAAGGTCCCCGGCTGTCCTACCCAGACTCCAGACCTCAATTCTATAAAAATCTGTGAGACGAGTTGAAGCCTGAGAAAGAAACCTTTAGAGTTTCTATGAAGAAGAGTTGTCCAGAATCCCCCCTGGGATGTGTGCAACCTTGATGGCCAACTATAGGAAACATCTGTCAGCTGTGCTTACAACAAGGGTTTCTCCACCAACAACAAAGTCATGTTTTGTCAATTCCCTGATTGTGTACTGCTGGAAGCTGAGGTGGAGCTTTTTCTTCAGTCTGTGGCTGTTTTCATCATCTGATTCTTCTATTTTTTTTATGTGTCACTTTATTAAACGATTGCTTATTGATTAAATGATTTGTGTACACAGATCATGGATCTCCTCAGCAGTTTGGAAATCTACATCCCTGCGGAGGCTGAGGTGAAAAACATCCCTTTGTTGACCTTGCCAAAGTCTGTACTCAGAAGAATGGGCCTCCCTCTACTGAATGCCTCCAGGAATCTTGCAGACTCTCCAGAAGGCATATGGATTTCTCCAGCAGTTATACGGAAGAAAGGCCAGAGACACACAGGAAGTGCAATAGATAACATGACCTCAGTGCTGGGCAAAGAGTTGCGCGCTTCAAGGGGTCCTTTTCGAATGTCTTTTGTTTCCTCGAACCGTGCAGCTCACGAGGTGCTGAAGGGCACCGTTCCCAAGGCACCTCTATGTCAAACCTCTCAATTCCCTTCGGACTCTGCCCCGCGAACCGGTCGAGATGCTGTCGTCATCTACCGTGGGCAAGTTTACTTGTCCATCAGAATGCCTAGTCGTAGCCATAGTCAGCGTGGGAAACAGATGACTTCTCAGCCTGTCACTCCTTCAACGTCCCACTTGTCTTCAAAGAAAAGGAAAAAGGTAACACAACTTTCTTTCTGCTAAAAAGACCAGTTTACAAAAAGTCTAGCAGAGGTCGTATTTACACAAAGCAGTCTGTTGCTGTTCCAGAAGGGAGAATGATTCAATACAACACAGTTATATATCATTGAAAAGAATCATAATGAATATATTTATGTTACTATTAACCTAAAACACACAAATGCTCTCCATTCTTTTCTCTTTTCACACGGTTTAGCCTGATCACTCAGTGTAAACTCTTGATTATTGGTCTCAGCCTTTATCTGAAACCAACCTGACATCAGGTAACAGAAACACCGGTCCAGCACATGCAGAAATTATATTGCTGCACGCCGCAGGAATATAACAGCAGAGGGACATGATATATTTAAATCCACAAACTCAGTATTAAACAGAAAATGTAAGAAGTAGAAGTCAAAGGAGCTTGCAAAGAAAAGCGTCTGGACTTCTTTAAGTTGCTTGAAGACGTTTCACCTCTCATCCGAGAAGCTTCTTCAGTTCTAAGGTCAAATGGTGGAGAGTCCCAGATATAAACCTAGTGGGAGTTTCCCCCCACAGAGGGACAAAAGGACCCCCTGATGATCCTCTAATCACCTGAGCCAAGGTGTGAAATTGGGTGGGGCCCAATCAGCCAGAGTTTCGGGTGGTTCATTGTGAAACCTGGCCTCACCTTGTCATGCGAATTCCTGAGGTCAGATGGCCCAGGATGTGAGTGGGCGTTAAGGCGTCTGGGAAGGGATCTCAAAACTGGATTATAGATGGCAGAGAGTTGGTGTCGTAAACCCACCGCCTCTGTTCAAAGATGGTCGCTCACAGTGGACATAGATGGCTTCTTTCACTCCTCTTTCAAACCATCTGTCCTCTCTGTCCAAAATGTGAACATTGGCATCCTCGAAAGAGTGTCCTTTATCCTTAAGATGCAGATGGACTGCTGAGTCTTGTCCTGTGGAGGTGGCTCTTCTTGTTGTGCCATGCGCTTGTGAAGTGGCTGTTTGGTCTCTCCAATGTAGAGGTCTGGCATTCCTCGCTGCACTGTACAGCATACACCACATTGTTAAGTTTGTGTTTTGGCGTTTTGTCTTTCGGGTGAACCAGTTTTTGTCTGAGTGTGTTGCTGGGTCTGAAATACACCGGGATGTCATGCTTGGAGAAAACTCTCCTGAGTTTCTCTGATACACCGGCTACATAGGGGATGACAATGTTGTTGCGTCTGTCCTTCTTATCCTCCCTCGCTGGTGTCTGGTCTTCTTTTCTGTGCCTCTTTGCTGACTTTAAAAACGCCCATTTAGGATAGCCGCACGTTTTGAGTGCTTCCTTTACATGTGTGTGTTCCTTCTTTTTTCCTTCAGGTTGAGAGGGAACATGTTCTGCCCGGTGGTGTAGGGTCCTAATTACTCCAAGTTTGTGTTCCAGAGGGTGATGGGAGTCAAAAAGGAGGTACTGGTCCGTGTGTGTGGGCTTCCGGTAAATTTCGATGTTGAGTTTGCCGTTCTCTTCAATGTGCACAGCGCAGTCCAGGAAAGGCAGACAGTTGTCCTTTGTGTCTTCCCTGGTGAACTTGATGTTTTTATCCACAGCGTTAATGTGCGCAGTGAAGGATTCCACTTCTTGTGTCTTGATTTTGACCCAGGTGTCATCCACATATCTGTACCAGTGGCTGGGTACTCTTCCTTTGAAAGAGCCAAGAGCCTTCCTTTCCACTTCCTCCATGTAAAGGTTGGCTACAATAGGTGACACGGGGGAGCCCATGGCACAGCCATGTTTTTGTCTGTAAAAGCCTTCGTTGTACTTGAAATATGTAGTGGTGAGGCAGAGGTCTAACAGTGTGCAGATCTGATCGGGTGTGAAGTTGGTCCTGTCCTCCAAGGAGCTGTCTTCTTGTAGTCGTTTTCTGACCGTCTCCACGGCCTCCGTGGTGGGTATGCAAGTGAAGAGAGAGACTACATCAAGGAATGCCAGACTCTCTGTGCAGCGAGGAATGCCCAGACCTCTACATCGGAGAGACCAAACAGCCACTTCACAAGCGCATGGCACAACACAGAAGAGCCACCTCCACAGGACAAGACTCAGCAGTCCATCTGCATCTTAAGGATAAAGGACACTCTTTCGAGGATGCCAATGTTCACATTTTGGACAGAGAGGACAGATGGTTTGAAAGAGGAGTGAAAGAAGCCATCTATGTCCACTGTGAGCGACCATCTTTGAACAGAGGCGGGGGTTTACGACACCAACTCTCTGCCATCTATAATCCAGTTTTGAGATCCCTTCCCAGACGCCTTAACGCCCACTCACATCCTGGGCCATCTGACCTCAGGAATTCGCATGACAAGGTGGGGCCAGGTTTCACAATGAACCCACCCGAAACTCTGGCTGATTGGGACCCACACCCAGTTTCACACCTTGGCTCAGGTGATTAGAGGATCATCAGGGGGTCCTTTTGTCCCTCTGTGGGGGGAACTCCCACTAGGTTTATATCTGGGACTCTCCACCATTTGACCTTAGAACTGAAGAAGCTTCTCGGATGAGAGGTGAAACGTCTTCAAGCAACTTAAAGAAGTCCAGACGCTTTTCTTTGCAAGCTCCTTTGACTACGATGACCTGGATGACTGAGAACCTTCACAGACGTAAGAAGTAGAAATGATTAAGTTAGCTTTGGAGAGACAAAGTGTGACATGGACACAGTGGACTGGTATCTCTGTTACGTGCCTTGCTGTGATATCGAGTTGCTGAAAGGGGTTGATTTCAGCCAGGAACCGACATCTGGTGAGAATTTTATGTTCAATACACAGAGACAGACAACAGTTCACACCTGTGGGAATTTACATTTAACCTGACCCCACTAACTACATGTCTTTGGACTGTGGGAGGAAGCCGGGGTACCCGGGGAGAACATGCAAACTCCACACAGGAAAGACCCGGCCAGGGGGTGAAATCCAACTAGGCACCATCTTGCTGTGAAGCAGCAATGCTAATCTTACTTAGCACTTAGTTCCTCCTACACCAAGTGTCACATCGGGCAGCTAATGATCTCTATCGACGTTGGTCTGCAGCAACTGCTACATCTTCGTCGGTTTTCAGATCATCCATAAACGTTCGACGCCATGTGATTAGCACTGCTTTGACAGTGCTAATCACCACCAATAATAATTGTTATTATTATTAATTTACAGAATAGAAAGTTCAAGCTTATTTCTAGTATCAAGATGCAAATAGACATGCATGTATTAGGAGGCCCCTACAAATGTAAAGCTACATGCTGCTGCCTGTAATCAACCTATTTGACAAACAATTGAGCCTTAGGGTTCACCAAAAGTATATTTCATAATATGCTTTTGGTGGGTTTTTTGGAATTCATGAGATTCCACAAAAAACGGAACCAAAAGACAGAATAGCATCTCACAGAAGCCTCTGGATTATGTTTATGCTCATTTGTATTTTAGTCCTAGAATGCTACTTTAAACGCTAATTCTGTGACTTTTTTGTACATCCCTTAGACGATGCTAAGCGACAACAAGCCCAAGAAAAAGCACAACATGTGTAAAGTAATGCATACAGAAAACAAGAAGGATGACGCACACAGGACAAGAGATGTTCACTTTCTGCCGAAACCCACTGAGAGTGAGTGTGAAGTGGGCAGCCAGTGTCCTGCAGATTCTAGAGGAGAGCCGCTCTCAGAGGCCCCCCTGAAGGCAGCTTGCTTTCAGCCTCACAGGGAGCCAGAGGAGGATCTGGCTGCCGAGGAAGCAGACGGCCCCCGTGAGAACAATGACAGAGGTGGTAGTCTACAGATGGACATCAGGGAAGTTGACCAAAGTAGCAGGGGCAGGGTGGAGCCCCTGGGTGCAGCTGCCGCCTCCACATCACTGCAGATGGACTGTGACTTTAACGAGTTGGCACAGGAGGAGAAGATCGCTCAAATGAGAGCCAAACTTAGACAGAGCGAAGCTGCTCTAAACCTGCTTTCTTAAAGTGACCTCACATTTGTTAGCCTTTTTGTACTGAATGTTTAGAATGGACTTTTATACATTTGTCTTCTGTGAACACATGCACATTAATAAAAGTGGTGTCGATGGGCTTATGTGTTTGGGGATCCTTTTTGTTTTATTTAGGCGTCCAAAAACAGATGTTGTACTAGTGTGGTGTTCTCTTCTCATTAGGTGCAGTTTATAGCAAGGTCTTCAATGTTTGGATGTTTTTGATGTGTTAGTTCATTTCCTTTTGATAAAACCTCAAACCATAGCAGCGTATGGTTTGATTATTTCAAGCTGTAGTTTGGTCCCATTTACAAAGTGAACCAAAGGGTTCTTTGTTAAAATATTTCTTTTTTCCAGAATATATAATGCGTTTTTCCTGGTTCAGTAACTAAGACTGTTTTTGTCTTTTTCTTTTTCTTTTTTTTGTAATCAAGCATACCAAATCTACACTTTTGTTTTTGTTTAGTATGATAGTTTCCCTGATCACCTTGAAACACCTCCACAGGTCATGAGTTGGTCTTATGTTTGTTGAAAGTGCTCCAAACCATAAACAATAAATATGACTAATCTTTGTGCATATGTTTCATAATGAGACTTTTAATACTAAGACCTGTGAAAAATCATTATTATTGCTGTTATTATTATTATTATTATTATTATTATTATTATTATTATTATTGTTATTATTTGGTGACCTAGTGCTGAAATGGTTGTGGTGTCACTGTTGTCCTTTCTACTCTGCTTTCTCACTCCTTAAATTATTTTTCATATGCAGGTCTTACACTTTGACCCTGACATTTCTTCTGTCAGTGTGGAACAAGAAAGTCAGGACTTTGAATTGTGACATAGTGACTGTGCTCACACTCACCTCTCTGCTTTGGTCCCTGAATGATTCAAAAATGTTTAGCATGGACTCATCTAGTGTTTTAAGGTTTTCATTTCTGTGTTTGAAATTCATTTCTATAGATGTATATCTGATTGCAAAATATGTTTGCATTAAAAGCAATCTGTATGGGGCTTTGACTTTTTGTTTTAAAGAAGCATCTCACCACACCAAAGGGTCACAGTTTATGCTGTAACCAGGGTTGGAATCAGAAGAGTTCAGAATATTGAAACTGAAGGAAAAAATTGTAAGTTTAAAAAAAAAAAGTGAGGTTTGTTGTATTAGTGTAAGTTATTGGATTATCCCAGAAAGTTGATTCTGTTCATCTGGACGTTCTCATTAGGAGAAATGTTTCCTCATCATCAGCTGACTGCAGGTTTCCAACCATATAAACAGGACATCTGCACACTGACTGAAACTAACACCACTGATTAACAGTGGACTGTGAGGTCAGTTTCATGATCATTAATATGGAAATTGATCAAAGCCAACTGAACAATGTCCATGAGTACCATTCACAGAGAGTTGTGGAATGGCTGCAATCACAGCATTGTAAGATGGTGACAGATGTACCCTTAGGCCCCCTCCTCCATTCAGAGCTTGTTTTTCCTTTTCGCGCTCAAACCAGTGTTCCTCCCTGTCCAGGACGTGTACATCCTCATTATTGAAAGAGTGTCCACTGGCCTGTAGGTGTAAATAGACTGCAGAGCCCTGGCCTGACGAGGTACAGTCAGGTCCATAAATATTGGGACATCGACACAATTCTAACATTTTTGGCTCTATACACCACCACAATGGATTGCAAATGAAACAAACAAGACGTGCTTTAACTGCAGACTGTCAACTTTTATTTGAGGGTATTTACATCCAAATCAGGTGAACGGTGTAGGAATTACAACAGATTGCAAATGTGCCTCCCACTTTTTAAGTGTATGTAAATACTCTGACTAAAAACTGACGGTTCTATAATGTCACCAATTTTGCTGGCATGAAGCCAAATGGTTTAATGTTCTTAGTGATGGCTCAGAAATCAACCACAAACAGGGACGCGCGTCGCTATAAGACAAATTATGTGACCCATACAGCTGCCGTGTCATACACACTGACGTGGATGCAGTCGTTGTTTGTACAGCGATCAGGGCTCAAATTGTGTTTGTCGGGAACTCCTTTGCATCGGAGCTGTTTGTGAGGTTATCACCCAGCACACAATGATCTCCACCCTTCACACACACCAGCACTCCCACTGTCACGAGCGCTTATATTTCCCAAACACTTTCACTTTGATTTCACGTGTTTCATTTATACGTCTTTGCAAAACCTATTTTTGAAGTCTGCATTTGACACACTGTATTAATCAGTCATATGAATTTGTTATAATCAAATTAATATGCACCTCTCGTTCATTCAGTTAGCACTTATATAAACAGGACCGCTCATCAGTCAGGATAAATGAGCGATGTTCAGGATGCTTGCAATAATTTTACATCCAGCAGATGTCGCTATTAAGCAGCACATCCACACAGTCGACAGAAGGGAAACGTTGGGAAACATCACTATTAGAACCTAAACATTTACTCCTCGCTCCATGATGGGTAATTCATTTTTTTGAAAAAAAAAAAATAAAATCTCCACCACCACGGCTGCGCTATGAATCCTGGGATAGGGTGGACCACGAAGGATTCATCCAACCTGTCCTTCACACCTGGGAAAAGGAGGCCACATTTGGAGGAGCCTTCAAACTGGGACAGCCTTCGTTGCCTCGCTGTGATGTAATCGGCCTTCAAGGATGCGGCCCCTGAACTGGGACACTGTATATGCCAAGAACCGGCACTGGTACAGAGGCTAGGGGGCCTAAACGAGAAAACCAACAGGAATAGGTTATATTTTTATTTATAATATAAATGAAATGCAGTATAATATCACTGCCGAATGAATTCTTTGATCTCAATAAGGGGAATCAAACTTAGAAAATACAAAATATGTATGCACATATTTTACTGTACAAAAATGGCATGAACAGGAAGAGAGTTATGTTTACAGCTCAGTTTCCACTCCTTGGTGTGTTGCAGTTGATTTCACCCTGAGCATGTTTCATCATGTTTGTCATTCTAACAGACGTCCTCTCAGGACAACAGAACCAAGTCATCTGCTACATTTTCAAGCAGAAATGGTTCTGTGAGGACAGGAGGGAGGCAACCGCCCTGACGCAGTCCTCCCCTCCTGCTGCCTTTTATAAGACCGCAGGTCTCCCAAAGCTGGTCTACACAGAAAGGATGTGCTCCTTGTGCTGTCTCCGTGCCAGACCACAGACACTCCAGGTAGGGCTTCGCCTCACTTCTTTTAGGTGGGACAGAAAAGAAACATACTGTATGTAGGTGGTGTTTTAAACATTGTTGCTTGTCATTATTTTCTTTTGTTTTTATTTATTTTTTTATTTTTACAAAGAAAAAAAGTTGATCTTTCTAAACTAAATGTTGAAGTCTGCAGAAGCACTACATTCCAGGCATCCGTTATTAGCTAGTTATTAATTTCCTGAGTCTTAGTTAAAAAAAACTGTGTGCATTACATAATTTAAGTAGTAAAATAAGTGAGAAGTAAAAGTAAATGGGGAGCTATCTTTCCAAGGCCACTGGTCATATTTCCTAACGCTCCCTTAACAATAGAGACAATAGTATAACCTGTCATTTAATTCTGCAGTCTACTCTCAACAATATCAGAAGCTATGTGTTGGTTACTGAAGGTTATCTATCTGTACTGTACAGAATGTCTACGCTGACGTTGTGATTATATCAGATATCATAGTGTTCCCACTTATTTGTTTTGTTGTCTTTGTTTAGTTAAATTAATCCAGTGGCCAGATTCAAACTGACAGTTTGGGTAGTGTGATTGGAAGGATGTTTGTTGTTTCAGTTCAACTATGGCCTAAAACAGCCCAAATGTTTCACTATTAATAAAATATTTAAGGATATCACTTTATTGTATCACAAAAATACCATTAATACACCATTCTGTTGTAAAAGATCATAAATAAATGTACAGCTGTAAGTATTTGGACAATTGTACATTTTTTGTAGTTTTGCCTGTGTACACTGCCACAGTGGATTTAAAATGAAATAATCAAGATGTGGCTGAAGTACTGCTGCTTTAATTCAACAGGTTTAACCCATTAATGCATTTTCATACATACTGCCCATTTCCAGAGAGTCAAAAGTAACAGGGCAAACTAACATCATTTAGACTATAATGATAGTTCTTAATACTTGAATTATAATCATTTGCAGTCAATGACTGCTTCAGCAGAGGCATTTTTCCTTTGAGACGAACTGCTGGACCTTTACTGCAGCTGCCATCAGTTGCTGCTTGTGTGTGGGTCTGTTTGCCTCTTCATTAACTGAAAAGCCAGCAGCCATCCATGCCAGTGGCACAAAGATGCCTCCACTACGATTGTGTGCTGTCCCTCTTTGTTGCCAATATTTAATTTAGAAAGATGTTTGTGCTATGCAGGCTGTATTTAAATTCATGAAACCATGTCTTGTTTACAGACTTGGGTGATGGTTTGTCTTGAGTTTGAGTTCTTGCCTTGACCAGTTTGAAGTTGTTCTGTAGTCACCTGCTTATGATGTCTTCTGTGGTTTTTTGGGGCATTTTGGTGTTACTAAGCTGCACAGTGCGTTTTTGCTTGATGAGGTTCAAAAGTCACTCATGCAATGTCAACAGATTGTTGAATATCCATCATTATACTTTCAGTCTAACGATGTCTTCCTTTATTTGCATTGAGATTTCTTTGGACCTAATATTGAAACTTGCGCTGGATGGTTATTCAAAGGCAACATTCAGAATCAATTCCAGATCTTTTATCTGCTTAATTTGTCAGAAACTATTGATGGAACAGGCCTCGCCTTCATGTCAGTCAGTTTCATTTACTTTTTTAACATTTGGAGTGTCAAAAACAGAGGAATATGTATAAAAATGGCAGCATTTCCTTAACACCTTTCTCGTATTCTGGTTTTCTTCTTGTCTTCAGGTGCTGTGTGTGCAGATCTGCATGTTTTACTCCAGCATTTGTCTGGTAAGCTGGCCACTGTGCGCAGAGACAGCTAAAGTCCGATGTGGCTCTGACCTGCTCAGTGACCTCATGTTTGTCTGTGGGGACCGTGGAATCTATTTACGTGAGTCTGCCTCAAGTACAAGCTGTGGCTTTATGTACTGTGAGTTTGATGCATCAAGCAGCAGGATGGGCCCACATTATTCAACTTACTTTAGTCATTAGTCAAGCTGAGGAGTAGCAGCTTAACTTTTTTTTTAAACTAAAAGCTCCAGGTGTAAATCTGTAACGATGCACGGACACAAGTGCACCAATGTGCTTAGTTTCCCTTTTTGAAGTTTTTTCACCTGTTTGTTCATTCATGTTTTGAAAGCTGCTAAGATGAGATACTAAATGAAACAACAAATTACCAATATTTTGAATGGTGCCACTATAACTACAGATTTATTATATGTATTAAAGGTTTGATAATAGCTAAACACACTGTTATTCTCCCTATAATCAGGATTTAAAACTAAATGCGATTAAACTTTAATTACTTCCACTGCACAGTACTCGTACCAATGCAGTTACCCACTGGACTTTTCACCTGGTTACCTTTGCTCTCTTCTAACCAAGGCAACCCTCTGCATCTGCTATCAGGCTGGTGGCAGTGCATCAAAATAGCAGCATACTCACCAGGACACTGTGCTTCTGTGTGATAGTCTTATTGTTAAAACAGTGTTATCTGAGAGCAATAAAAAGGTACAGAGAGGGAGCAGAAGCAGCTGCAGATATGCTCTTTCAGAAGCACAGTGTTCTTTGGCCTATATCGTGATTGTGCTAAATACTTTTGCATGTTTCATGTTTTGTTTATGCCAAAAACAGCACGATAAATGTTCACAATGCCAGTACTAAACATGACTACATCTTGAAAGTAATGTTTACCATATTCACCAAGCTAGAGACAGTCAAAGGTCTCTTGAAGAAAAGAAATATTAGAAGTAAACACTGAAAGAGGTTTTAAATCAGCCGTGTGAAGATAAATAGTATCAATTATTATTTTGTCTTTTCAGGATAATGTGCTGCTTATCATTAATCCATTCACATACACGCTAATGCTGACGAATGCTGCAGTGCTCAGGCATGTTATGATTGAACTGTTCCTAATTGTACACTGATAATGTACAAAGGACAAAATATTCTACTTCTACATTTCATATCTATCTATCTATCTATCTATCTTTCTATCTATGTATATATAATTGATGTATATATATTATATATATATAGTATATATAATATTAATATATATATATAAAAAGTAATGATTATTATTGTTTATGAAACAACAGTTTTTATCTTTAGTTTGTGAATATGTTTTGTTGTAAACCTATCATTTTTATGTACTTATTTTTTGTTTTTGTTTTTAGTGACATAACATTATAAACCATTTAAACAGAGTCAGTGCTATAGTTCGAGTCATTTGAGTCAGTTCTTCGCTTATATTTATTGATTTTGATTTAGAGCTTAAAAAAACGAAAAGCTGTAAATAATAATGGTTTAAAAATATTATCATTCACATTAAACAGTGTCACTGCTACTAAACAGACTGACATGAAATCATCTGTAGATTTCATGTCTGTGCTCCAGAGGATGAATCCTGATGATTTTAAATGCACTTCTTAAATGGCATCTGTAAAACACCAGGAAGGAATTAATCAGAGCATAAGTCATTTAAACTTCTAGGATGTTGATGTGGTCAGTCAGGTAGCAGAGGGTTTTTTATTGGTTTCAGCTGCTTTGGTATTAATGAAATTAACAAAAGGTGCTCAAAGGTGCAGCAATAAGACAAGTCCCCAAACACAAATGGTTTCCGGTCACTGACATTTTTCCTCCTCATCTTTTCTGACTGTTATACCTTTGGCTAGGTCAATGTCACCACTGGTAGCGTGAGGTAATACCTGGCACCAACAGATTTAACAATTTACTCTAGCAGAGCTGGACAGGGGTACAGAATGGTCTTTAAACCATTTGCAGGACTGGTATCAGCTCCTTCGTGCAAGCAGGAATAGAAAGAGCACTGTCAGAGCTCTACAAAGAGCAGGCCAACAGGCCACTGGTAAGTGACAAAACGGACACAGATTTAATGGGCCTGAGAGCCACCATCCTCTAGTGGGCCCTGTGCTCACAGCTGGGTACCCCTGGGGTTGGCCATAGAATACCAGAATTGTATTTTTCACAGATGAGAGCAGGTTCACCCTGTGCACATGTGACAGATGTGAAAGGGTCTGGAGAAGCTGTGGAGAATGCTGCCTGCATCATCGTTCCACATGACTGGTTTAGTAGTGGGTCAGTGATGGTCTGGGAAAGCATGGGAGGGCCACACAGACCTCTACAGCTTAGGCAACAACACTCTTGACTGTCAGCTCTTATGCTGGTGCAGTGGGACCTAGCTTCCCCGTGTGGTGAGAGTATACATATAGTTGCTAGAGGATGAAGCACCTGACCTAAATCCGATAGTACCAATTTGAGTTGCTACAATGAAATTTCGGCTAAATGAACTAGCCCGCCATATATTTCTCACTTTGGTTTTTGGGATGTCTTTGAATTCAGTGCATCTTTTTGTTCCCAACACATCATGGCCTGTATCTGTATAGCACTTGACTTAGTCCCCAGGGACCCCAAAGCGCTTTACGCCCCTACGATCGCCCATTAATATCAGTATAGATGATTAACATGACTTTTGTCCTGTTGATAATGTGTCCTGATGTGTTTTCAGAGTTGGGTAGTGCATTATGTTCAAATAAAAATAATAAATGGACTCGTTCTTATGTAGAAAAGTGTTTATCCATTTAACACACACACAGACATTTAAACCCAAATGAACACATCAGGAACAAGTCGGGGTTCAGCATCTTGCCCAGGGATACTTTGGCACACAGACTGCAGCAGCCAGGGATCAAACCACCAACCTAACGATTAGCAGACACGCTCTACCTCCTGCGCCGCAGCCACGACAGTTCAACAATGACTAAACTGTCCGAGCACATTTATTTTCTGCAGAGGAGGAAGTTGTTATGGCCACATAAGGGGACACAGTAAATCTTAAGCACCACTGTACTCTGTATAGGAGATTTTGTTTGACTGTAAAGCTATTGATAGTTAAAGGAAAGAGAAGAACGTAGTGTGTGACACGTCTCTCTTCTGCAGGTAAAGGCTTGTGGTCTGGTTATGGCACTCGGTCCAGAGGGAAGGGGATAGTGGATCTGTGTTGCCTGTCATCAGGTTGTGAACTTCATCACCTTGAGATGTACTGTGCTAAACCAAGGAGCCAACAGACCACATATTCTCCATCCACAACAGTACATGCCACTACACAGCCAAATTTGGTAAGATCTCTGTTGTTTAAATAAGTTTATATACCTTGTATCCATCCATTGTCTTCACCTTATCCACTTCAGAAGAACAGGGAGAAGGTGGGAGCTTATCTCATGGCTAAACATGAGGATACAACCCAAAGGCCAGACACAGAGAGGGAACCTATCATGTGTCCTTCACACGTACAGTCGGTTTAGAACGACCACTTAGAATAACCGCCATGTGTGTTCAGACTGTGGGAGGAAGCCAGAACATCTGCAGCGCATTTGATCCAGGACCTTCTTGCTGTGAAGTGATAGTGCTGACTCTGCACCACTGTGCTGTTTAAGTTCACACTTGGCCTTGACATTATCAGAGGATTGATTATACTGGATCAAAGAGAAAAAAGCTGGGCCTTACCCTTAACTGGCTCATTGTATAAAATACAGTGAAGCGTGTGTCCTCAGTCATTGCTGACCTTTACCAAATTAGGTCACATTAGATCCCAAAGAACATTTGTAAACCAACTGTGGAGTCTTCTCCCAGTGGTCTGTGGTAGTACTGCAAGCATGTGATCCACAACTATTTCCATTTTTGATTAAATATCTAAAGATGGTGAAAAAAATATGTTTATTTCAGAGCTGTGAAAAACACTTCCCTTCTTTTTCATATAAGTGTGTTTTGTATAAGAATGCAGGAATATGTCCATATACCTACTGAATGTTGGACAGACTCAATATTACCATTTAATAAATATATCAACACTAAGCCAGAAAATCAGGATTGGGAGTTGTATTTGTTTTATTGTGTTGTTTTCCTCTAACACACCTGTCACTGTTAAAGACATGCCTAACAAGCAAATCCAGACATGGTTTCAACTGGCCACAGACAAAAAAGTTTCATTTTATTGAATCCAAAACCACAAAAGCCACAAAGAAAAAGGCAGCATACACTTTAGCAGAAAGTTTCACTGTCATGAAAGAGGAAAACAACCAGTTGGCACTACAGCCACTAAAGACTTATAAATGGTAAATGGCCTGTATTTGTATAGCGCTTTATGAGCTTTGGCCTTATGAGATGAATATTTATATTCCTGGATTTGTAATTCTGCAATAGTATTGCCAAGCCGGGGAAATTCTCTGGTACTGTGGTGATCCAGCACAATTTGTGTGAAGCAACAGAATATCAGCAACAGTGACCACATAACACAAACTAACAGCTGTATTGGAGGCCTTAAGCTCCTCATTGTTTAATGAACTCTTTATTCTTATCTGTGTCTTGCAGCTCCAAGAAGTATTTCAGAAAAAACTTTTACAGTACCTGGGACCTCCGAGCAGTCCGAAGAGGGAAGCATACAGAAGGAATTGGCGGCATTCGCTTCGGCACAAAGTCAAAGTTTCACGGTCACTAAGGAGGATGACTGCATATGAAACAACAAGTCAGCCGACTGCAGCCAATAAGAGCGCACTTTAAAGAATTATGGGTTTACAGTCCGGAGTTTGAAGATAATATTTATACTCACAGAAGTCCTGTGGTATAAAAACAATCAAACAGTGTATGTGTTTGAGTATGTGCAGCGACCCAGACCTCTTATATGTTCATAGATAAAAGGTCACCTCAGAAACTTTAGAAATGTAATCAGACAGCAAACTTCCAGTAACACCACAATAAACAGCAATCCATGTATGGTTAAGGACAGTGTTTGGTTAACCCCTAGCCCCTTCATGGAGAATATTTGGTTGTTTGTTACACCGATTTAAAAAAAAAAAAAATTTGATTTAGATTAAAACAAAAGTTCACTCTAACCTCAGACAGGCCACCAGTAATTTGGTGAATAAGTAATGTTCAGGAAGAAGTTACTCCTTTATGTACTTATCATTATAGGCCTTCATATATCTTCACGTTAATGTGATCTGTGCAGCTAATGGAAATAACATTTGTGGGGAGAGAAACACAAATTTACAAGAAACTAATAACAGAAACAGAAGTGATCTACTCATAAATGCACAAAAATCTTAGATTTTTTAATATCTATTTTGAGATGTTACCTCATCCTAGAGCACCATAAATGCTTTTTCTTCTTTACATACAGTAGACCTAATTCTCCCACATCTGCTCTAACCCATGAAAACATCTTCAGCTGCCCGATTCTTCACTATTCTTCTGTCTGTGCTCGTCTCTTGGTGTGGTGTCTGTTAAGAAACATGTCAGCCACTATACCGTAGTTAATAGTTCTTATAAGATTTTTTATGCACTCATCATCAGAATCCGAACACTTTGTTATATACGCCACCTTCTGTGGAGTCATTTGTAGTTCACACTTATTTCGATGGCACTTGACACTCTTGACTAGCTTTAATATTTGTTTGGGTAAAAGACAAATTTTATCCACTGTGTGTGTTTATTGTTTATGGACATATGTTGTGTAAATGTCTTTAAATGCATTCATTATTTATTTCACAATGAGCACGTAACTATAATAAATATTAAGCCTTATTCATCTTTGGTGATCTGTTATGTTTTACATTGTTTGGCTGTAAAAGTGATTTCAGGTGTGACATTGGTGAGTATTTTCAAATCTCACGACATTTTACGTTCATATAATTCTAATCAGAACTTGACACAACCTCCAGTTTCAGAGTAATCTTAAGCTGCTGGCTCATTTTACTTTGACATAGCTACAGTTATCACCAAAAGCCTTGAAGGTCATCTCGGGCCTCGGTGGATAAATAAAGAGCTGCAAGTCTTACTGATAGATTTGTGATTAAACACAGTGTGCTTTCTTTGAGGCCAAGCTGAAGTTATAACCAGGTGTTCTATCTGCACAGGAGTGTCAGGAGCTAGAACTCTTAAGAGCGCCTCCTGCTGTATCCGGAAGAGTGCAGAACCCTCAACTACACATGCCGTAATACTCCCACCACCATTTATGATAGTTGATGTTTGTCCTTCAGATTAGGAGCCATTCCCTTTCCTTGACAATACTCATCTCCCCAGTATTTTGGTATGAGTTATCCTTGGTTTCATCTCTCTCCAGAGGCTCTTTTAGATGTTTTCTTCTACTCTGGCTTTCCTCAAACTGAGTATAATCAGCAGTTTGCACCTTGTTGTCAGCATTCATTAAACCTCTCTTCATTGTAGACAATGATATGCCTGCTACCATCAGAGTGTTGACAGGTTATTTTTTCTCAACCAAGGAACGATTTTTGTAATAGTGCACATTTCAGGGCTTCACTTTTATTCAGTTTGATTCCATTCAAATTCTTAATATCTCTAATCCCCACCAACATGGAACTTTAGAGTAAAGACACCACAATACTGGGAGAACCAGGCTTTGAAAAGCCACAAGTGAAAAAAAACAAAAAACAGTCCCCATCAGCCTAAACCTGTTGTAGCTTGGCCAATAGTAGTGTAGTCAAAGTCACTTGATCCAGCCCCTACTATGAGGTTTGAGTGTTGTCACATTGCCATTCAGTTTGTGGGTTACAAACAGAAAATGATACATGTATTCTTCTCATGCGTTATTGGACTGGATTATTTCAACAAACTGATGACATTTTGCCCATTAATTATTTGTATCCTCCTGTAACTTTACTGTATAAAGGGCTAAGACATCCAAAGTTTCAGGAGTCATTATAAGTCATTATAAGAAGTGTTGTGATTTGGAGAGCCCAGTGCGTGCTCCTGACACAGGAGAACCACATGCTGTCGAGGATACCTACCTTTGCATGACACGGGAAACAAGTCAAACAAACGTCACAATAAAAGCATGCTATAAAACTGTGAGAATAAAACACTTAACATTATTTAAAGATATTTTATCATCACATGTGTGTAATATGCTTAAATTTAAATACTCCCCATTTACATGATACAAACTTTAATTATGGAGTTCCACAGGGTTCAGTGCTAGGACCATCGCAGCGCAATTTGGGGTTTTTGGCATGCAGACTAGGGGAAGCCAGCCACCCCAATATGCATATGACAGGTGTGTGTGTGCTGTGTTTAGCTGGTTAATCATATGTGGTATGGCACAACGGATTTACAGAATCCAACTACTGCATAACTGTTCTAGCACGTTTTCATCAATCTCTAAAATTAGAAACATCCAGTCTGTGATGTGAGTGATGTTAAAAAACTAGTTCATGCATTTATTGCTTCTAGGCTGGACTACTGTAATTTACTATTCTTAGATTGTCCTAAAAACTCACTGCAAAGCATTCAGTTAATCCAAAATGCTGCAGCAAGAGTCCTGACAGGGACTAGAAAGAGATATTTCTCTGATATTGGCTTCTGTTCATTGGCTTCCTGTTAAATTTAAAATCCTTTCTTCCATTGTAAAGTCTTGAATAATCAGGCTCCATCTTATCTTAAAGACCTTATAGCAGCAACTGCAGGCTTACTTGTTGTTCATATGAAATTTAAATAGATTGGTTGGGAGAGCCTTTGGCTTTCAGGTCCCTCCTCTATGGAACCAGCTCCCAGTTTAAGAGACAGACATCCTCTCTACTTTCAAAATTAGGCTTCAAACTTTCCTTTTTCATAAAGTGTATAGTTAGGGCTGGATCAGGTGACCTGAATTAATTATTATTAATCTCTGGGTCTCTTCTACAGTTTGTCTTTTATCCCATCTTCCTCCCATCATCCCCAACAACTCCCGACAGAAGGCTGCACTTCTAGAACCTCCCTTCTGGATTCCCGCCCTTTGTTACTACTACCCGAGCGTTGAATTAACCATGTTAGTGAAACCAGCTTGTCACGTAGAAATTCTGATCCTGTTAGTGTTGGCCAAATGAAACTTTCTTTAGCACTGAAAGGTTTATTACTTGAAGTTTCTTAACGCAGTCCTCTTTGGTGCCATCTGGTTACCAAAAATATGAAGTGCAGTTTGACTCTGCAACTTGAAACGAACTGCTTGGTTATGATTATTCACTCTGCAGAGCTGAACTGACAGCTTCTGTTTAATGTCATGTGGCAGTTTTGTGTGATATCGGGCTACAGTTGTGGTGCTTTGAACATGTTTTTTTTTGTGTAAAATTGTTATATCTATTGCTTGATACGTCATTTACATGAATAAACTTTCCTTGTTTAAACATGGTGTGGTCTCTCTTTATTTGTGATAGTCATAGATTAAAAACAAACATTGTAAATAATAATGTACAACACACTCTTATCCTATAATCTGGGACTCTCCACCATTAACTCTGAAGACGCTTCTCAGATGAAACGTCTTCAAGAAACTTAAACAGGTCAGCCCTGAGAACCTACACGGACAACAAACTCTTACAATAGGTTGGGCATATGCTTGCTTTTGTAATTTACCAGTGGACATACACCAATATATAATATATTATTTAGTGTATTTCTTGTGTATGTTTTTGACCTGGGGCTGGAGCTGTTGGTTCACTGCTGGCTCCATGTCTTTTTATGTCACACACTGGTTCACTCTCTCTCACACATAAAAAATAAACAAACTACAAATCCTGCAAACACTTCAGTCCCTTAGAAACCATTGAATCAGGTATTGAAATAGTGATGAACCGAATGAAGCTTCAGACATCACTGATCACTTGACTCTAGCCAGACAAACAAAGCCTCAACACAGTGCCTCCAAAGCACCACGCTAAAGCTTCAGCTTCAAACGGCCCATCATCCTGTTTTTTTCAGTCCCTGCAACCTACTTGTTTTCTCCTCTGCCTAGAAGTCCTGGTGTTTTTCCTAAAAGAGCATTATCTCAGAGAGAATCTGTGGAGGAAATATCTGGTCCTGCACCAACTGGACCATCACTAAGCTGCCTTAGTTTATGATGAATAAACCCATGTTTGAGTCAGCCTGCACATTGTTGCCAGGGGTTGTTTGATTGTTGGGGCTTTCTCTCTATTATTGTAGGGTCTTTACAATATAAAGGGCCTTGAGGCGACCGCTGTTGTGATTTGGCACTATGTGAATAAAACTGACTTCAGTATTTATTTCATTTATGTATTATAACACATTTGGGTTAAGCACACAGCTATTCCTTTACGTTGGTAAATGAACTGATTTTCCTGCTCTATCTGAGCACTCAAAGTGCTTTAAATGACTCGTATAATTCACTCCAACACTTACTTCTTCACAAATGCTACCAATTACACATGATGAGAGAGCAACTCCAGGGTTAGTATCCTACCCAATGATATTTGGCAAGCCTGGAGCAGCCAGAAATTGAACCACCAACCTTCTGCCCTACTCCTGAGCTACAGCCACTCCATGTTGGACAGCTTTTGTCTTGGACTAAGCTCACCATAGACAAGTTTAATCTTGGAGGAAATTTGCTGATTGGACTATTTATTCAGCAAATTCGGCATAAATGTAGCTGTTGAATCGCTCATGCATTTATTTGCTGATGTGTGCTCTCAACTGTAACCCTGTATTTGATACAACTGATTCAGTTTGGCACTGCCTTCTTAGAAACATGTGCGTGTGTGAGAAAAGGCTACAGTAGCAAATATTTTGCTGGAAATTTGAATAGATAATTAAACCAAACTTTTGTGGTCTTCTATTATAGAATAAATAAATAGTTAAAATGATTTGAATAGGTGGGTTTAAACCTCTGAGTGGATTCACTGTAGTAGAAGTAACACTCAAGACGATGTTAAAGTTTGTTCAAATGAGTCACAATGGAGCTGGGACAGGCTCCAGCCCCCCGTGTCTCCCCAGAAGGGTAAGTGGAAGAGAGTGGATGGATTTAGTTACCATGGTCAGTGCTTCAGTGAACTTTGCTGACCTGCAGATGGTGCAGAACAAAAATCTTCAAACATTTTAATCATTTACAGGTTTGACAGTTTTTTGTATGCT